GAAACAAGTGCATTCATTTTTAGGTGCAGAGAATCTGTGGAGATAATTACACTATCAAAGACTGTATATACATTTTCCAGGATGGGGAGGCGATGGTGCTAAAACTGTTCAGCTGTTCCAGGTCAGTAAAAGCAAGATTTAACAGAATACGGGCCTTCATGGGAGGCCTGTGAAATAAATATATACTCTTAAAATATGTAAAATGCTTTCACAGCACGTATGGAAGTGAAGCATGAACTGGCTTGCTGGATGTTAACTTTTCTTTGCTTCATAGCTATGTATGTATTCTGTGTTCCATTATTAATACATTTTTTTAACTCCTGCTGCTTTTTCAAAGCAGTCTCTTCAGCTACTGTTAAGCTATAACGCACGGTGGTGAACCTTTGCTTCTTGCACATTGCTGCGACCTTCAGAGTTGTGTTGACCAAAAAATAGTTTTGTTTTGTAGCAATAGAGAATTATATTGTTGTTGAAGTGTTTTGCTTTTCTTTCTTTCTTTCTTTTCTTTCTTTTTTTCTTTTTCGAAACAGGATCTTGCTCTGCTGCTCAGGCTGGAGTGACAGCTCACTACAGCCTCGATCTCCTGGGCTCAAATCATCCTCCTGCCTCAGCCTCCCAAGTAGCTGGGACTACAGGAGTGTGTCACCATGTCTGGCTAATTCTTAAATTTTTTTTTAGAGACAGGGTCTTATTATATTACCCAGGCTGGTCTTGAACTCTCAGGCTCAAGAGCGCCTCCTACCCTGGCCTCCCAGAGTTCTGAGATTACAGGTGTGAGCCACTGCACCTGGCCTTTTTTCTTTCTTCTTCTTTTTTTTTCCCCTTCAATCTGTTCTGAGGACCAAGATTCATTTAGGGGACGGCTACAGAAGTGAACCAGGGTAGGCAATGAAAATACCATTCACAGTTGAATGAAGCATCCATCCAGGAAGGGGAATATAACCTTACTATTATATTTAAACTGGCTGCTCTGGTGTGTTGAAGAACTTGGTGTTGGTTTGCTTCTTAGGTTTCACAGGTCAAGAGATTTTTGTTCCACCATTCTGGGATTTTAGAGGAGTTAATAGTTTATAGGGGACTTTGGGAAATGTTGCGTTAGGTGATATCTGAAAGTATGTGCCATTAAACATTAATCCTGGGCTGGGCGTGGTGGCTCACGCCTGAAATCCCAAAACTTTAGGAGGCTGAGGCGGGTGGATCACCTGAGGTCAGGAGTTTGAGACCAGGCTGGCCAACATGGTGAAACCCCGTCTCTACTAAAAATACAAAAATTAGCTGGACGTGGTGGTGGGTGCCTGTAATCCCAGCTCCTTGGGAGGCTGAGACAGGAGAATCGCTTGAACCTGGGAGGTAGAGGTTGCAGTGAGCCAAGATCGTGCCATTTCACTCCAGCCTGGGCAACCAGAGTGAAACTCTGTCTCAAAAAAAAAAAAAAATCCTGAAGAATTTCTTGAAAAAAGAAGTTCTGAAGCCAAATCCATTTGGGAAAACTCTGCAAACTGAATCCTCTCTTGGAGTTCCATAGTATACTCTGATCTTATTCATCGAAGCATTTGTTATAAATAACTTAAATATTTATAGGGAGGAGAGTAAAATTGTGTTAATATAATATTATACAGCCCTTAAAAAGGAATGAACTAGATCTCGATCTTCAATCTGGATGGTTCTCAAGAACATGTAGAAAAACATTACAGAATGAGAATGATGCATGTAGTATATAATTGTGTTTTTTAAAAACTGTATGCTTTCCCCAGTACATCTGTATAATAAAAATGCATTTTAATAAAGTCTAAAAGGATTCATGAGAAGCAAGTAGTGATAGTTCTTGGAGAAATGACTGGGATTGGGAATGACGATCAGAAGGTCCTTTTTTGCTTTATCTGTAAAGGTTTGAGTTTTCTTAGGAATATATTTGTGTATTACTTATAATAAAAATTAATGAAATGCAAATGCCTGTTAAGTGTTGAGAAAGTTACTTTCTTTTCCCTGACTGGCAGTATCTACCCTGCTAAACTTCAAGTACTTCCATTTATTAATTCACCATCTACAAATTAAACCAAGTTTGGAGCCCCGGTATTATAAACTAGGAAATTCTTTATTACATGGTAACAAAATGATTTTCTTACATTATGAAGATAAATTAAGTGGCTTATACAGTCTAGTCCATGTAAGTTCTCAAGAGGCCCGCTTAGTCAGGCTTATTGTGTTGATTCAAGACATCTTTTCGAGTGCAACAAAGAGAAGTTTGAACTCGGCTCTTGAGCTGCTAGAGTTGCCGTACGTAGATTGGAACATTATGGTTCAAAATTAATAAAGATCGAAGAAGCAGACCGTCTTTGGTAATACTCTTTCCAATTCCATGGACCTTGTTCTTTATCTTATTCTCTAGACTTGATTTTGACATCTGAGTCAAACTTGAAGGCGTTGATGGTTCTGTTTGACTTTACCAGTTGCCAGGCATCAATTTTAAATGGCTGCATTTTTGTAATGTAAATACATTTTTTTTAAGAAAGGTTAATCGTGAAAAAGCTGTAGTCACATAGAAGGTTTTCTATCAATACATTCACTTTATTCCTTCAATTTGCTTTGTGCTATAAGAGCCCATTGTCTGAGAACGATTCATCAACTGAAAATATCTCTTCTTTAGTATGATTTATTTTCAGGCATATTTTTCCATCTTATCAAAGTAGTCATTTTTATATTTCATCTAAGTTAAAACTTGGACCGGGACATAAACTGATCAATTTATGCTAAAAAACATTTAAATATAGGTTATGAAGGGATTCAAAATTTAATTTACACTACAGATATTTATTATGTTTTTGTTGTTGTTATTGTTTTGTTGAGATGGAGTCTCGCTCCGTTGCCCAGGCTGGAATGCAGTGGCTTGATCTCGGCTCACTGCCACCTCTGCCTCCTGGGTTCAAGCATCCTTCTGCCTCAGCCTCCCACGCAGCTGGGACTACAGGCTCCCACCACCATGCCTGGCTAATTTTTGTAATTTTAGTAGAGACGGGGTTTCACCATGTTGCTCAGGCTGGTCTCGAACTCCTGACCTCGTGATCCGCCTGTCTCAGCCTCGCAAAGTGCTGGGATTACAAGCTTGAGCCACCGCACCCGGCCTGTATCTATTTTTTATAGTTGTTTATTGGCACCTACCATATGCTTGATATGCCAGGAAATTCAGAGTATTAAAATGCATTACTGCTCTTAGTGAGCTTCCTGTTCCTAAAATATTGTTAAGCATGCAATCCATATGCATGCAAATTACTGGTGATTTAAGATGATTCTTCTACCAGAATGTCAGTGGAAATTTGTACAGTATAAACTGTGAAAGTGCTAAGTAGAGTGAACTTCAGGAATATTTTGAGTAGTTTAGTAGCCACTGAGGATGGAAAGGTTGCAGGGTGTGATTAACCTGCAGAAAGTTATGAAGCCCCGTGTGTGGCTGCTGTGGCTTCTCATTCTACCTGATTATTGAGGGTCTTGCACGTGGCAGTCACATAGTGTGTGTTGTTCATGGGGATTTAGCGCTGCTTTCGAGAGAGATGAATGACATGATTAGCTTTATAGCCAGTGTGATTTTAAGGCGTGGCTTGGGGATTGAGCATAAGGTACACAAAGTGAAAGAAAAGGGAAGATAAAAAGGAGAACTTGAGCACTACAAATCAAAGTTAGCTTTTTTCTTCAGCTCAGATGATTCTCATACTGACTTTAAGGTTGTGATTGTTTTTTAATTTCCTGGTGCTTAATAGTTGCAAGAGTGTGTCAATTTTTAAAAACACATTTTCTTTAATTGAAAAGTTGAGATACCACCTCATGCCACTTAGAATGGTGATCATTAAAAAATCAGAAGACAACAGAAGCTGGAGAGGATGTGGAGAAATAGGAACGCTTTTACACTGTTGATGGCAGTGTAAATTAATTCAACCATTGTGGAAGACTGTGGTGATTCCTCAAGGATCTAAAAAATAGAAATACCATAGCCGGGTGCAGTGGCTCACACCTGTAATCCCAGCACTTTGGGAGGCTGAGGCGGGCAGATCACCTGAGGTCAGGAGTTCGAGACCAGCCTGACCAATATGGTGAAACCCTGTCTTAAAAAAAAAAAAAGAAATACCATTTGACCCAGCAATCCCATTACTGGGTATCTACCCAAAGGATTATAAATCATTCTATTATAAAGACGTATGCACACATATGTTTATTGCAGCACTGTTCACAATAGCAAAGACTTGGAACCAATCCAAATGTCCATCAATGATAGACTGGATAAAGAAAGTGTGTCACATACACACCATGGAATACTATGAAGCCATAAAAAAAGATGAGTTCATGTCCTTTGCAGGGACATGGATGAAACGGGAAACCATCCTTCTCAGCAAACTGATACAAAAATAAAACCAAACACCGCATGTTCTCACTCTTAAGTGGGTGTTGAACAATGAGAACATACGGACACAAGGAAGGGAACATCACACACTGGGGCCTGGGGTGTGGGGGGTAAGGGAGGAATAGCATTAGGAGAAACACCTAATGTAGAAGACAGGGCGATGGATGCAGCAAACCACTACCATGGCACATGTATAACTATGTAACCTGCATGATCTGCACATGTACCCCAGAACTTAAAGTATAATAAATAAAGTTGGACTCCCTGCTACCCTATGTCTCTGTAATGTGAATACCACCAAATTATTATACTATCATTTAATGCAGAATTAATCATGAATGTGGCTGAAGTAAGTGAATTTGATGTCTGTTCATGGATAAAATTATTCCCTGCTAACAAGTTTATCTGCATTCTTAGTGACTGGATAAAGACCATTTAAATCAGCCCAATTCCTATCAATATAAAAAATCACAAAAATGTTGAAGATGCCTATTTCTCCTGAGAACAGGAATGCTAGCTGTCAGTTTTCTAGTTTGGGCTTCATACCATGGAAGTCCTTAGAAACCTGTTTTATGAGTTCTAAATCATGCATATTCCTGTGTTCCAGGATTTCTCTCCGATCAAACGGACAGTTCTGGACTCAAGAGTCTGAGGATGAATGTTCACCGTGGCAGTGACAGTGACAGGTTATTGCGGCAGGAGGCCAGCTGCTTAGTGGATGATACCTCAGCTGCAGCCCAGGAAAAAGAAGCGAACAGCCTCCCTTCATTTGGTCCTCATAATCTTACTTACCCTCTAGGTCCCAGGAATGAAGGTACAGTGATGAGCTCTTGACTTAATTTGGGGGGGGCTTTCTGATACCAAAGCATCTACTCTACCCGGAAGGCATGAATGTTTTTAATGTAAATAAATTATCCAATTAATTGCTTAGCTTGCAATCACAATTATATAAGGCTGACCACAGAAAATCTCCACTTATTTGATTAAATAAGTCTAGCACATTTAATGTGGTGATAATGGTATTTTTTTTTAAAGCCACAGGTTTGGAGTCGAGACATATTCAGTTTCTAGCTCAGCTGCTTATTAGTTGTAACCATGGATGAGATCCTTAATCTTTCTGAGACTTGCTTTTTTTTTTTTTTTTTGTTCCACTCTGTCACCCAGGCTGGAATGCAGTGGCACAAAAAAGGCAACCTTGACCTCCCAGGCTCAAGGCTCAAGTGATCCTCCACCCTCAGCCTCCCAAGTTGCTGGGACCACAGGTGTGCACCACCACGCCCAGCTAATTTTTTACATTTTTGGTAGAGACAGCGTTTCACCATTTTGCCCAGGCTGGGGAGCCTTGCTCTTAATGTAGAAAACAAGGCTATTAATATTCTTCCTAGGCCTGGCGCAGTGGCTCACGCCTGTAATCCCAACACTTTGGGAGGCCAAAGCAAGCAGATCACTTGAGGTCAGGAGTTCGAGACTTGCCTGGCCAACATGGTGAAACCCCTGTCTCTACTAAAAATAAAAAAATTAGCCGGGCATGGTGGTGAATATCTATAATCCCAGCTACTCGGGAGGCTGAGGCCGAAGAATCGCTCAAACCTAGGAGGCGGAGGTTGCAGTGAGCCAAGATCGCACCACTGCACTCTAGCCTGGGCAAAAGAGCAAGACTCTGTCTCAAAAAAAAAATTCTTCCTACCTCACAAGGCTAGTAGATAAACAAGTTAATGGATGTGAAGGCTCCTGATAAACTGAGATTCTTTTTAACTTTTAATTAAAACAATAGCACCAGTAATAGCAACTACCTTATTGAGCATTTACTGTACTAGGCACTTTACATATATTCTTTAGATCAGAGGTGGCAAACTGGTCAAATCTGTCTACCTGTTTCTATAAATAAAATTTTAATGAAACAGCCATCGTGTCCATATTGTCTATGGCTGCCTTCCTGCTATGGTAGTGGCAGAGACTGTGACCACAAGTCTAAAATATTTACTTTGTGGCTCTTTATGGAAAATTTGCTGACTCTACTCCAGTTTAGTCCTTTTAACTATTATCCTTGTTTTACAGATGAGGAAACTGAGGCTTAGAGAGCTTAGGTAACTTGCTCAGGTTCACAGTGCTGGGAGGTAGTGGGCTGGGATGATTTCTGACTAGGCTGTTCTTCATGTGTATCAGCTGACAGAAGAGCATGGGACTGCCGCCCAAGAGTACACCGTTAGGGAGAACTTGTGCAAGGAGTCTCTTTTCCTACTCGCCCATTTAAGCAGGATAGAACCTGAGGTTTCTTCCTTGGGTTTAGGAATCAACCCATTTTAATTGCTTCATCATTGGGGTGAAATCAAGCATTCTAAAGAACTGAATTAGTAATTCAGGTATTTATTTCACTTTGAATAAACAGCACCTCAAGTGTGAAAACCTATCCTGGTGATCAAAGTGTTTCTTGCTACAAGCTTGCCTGTGGGTTGCCTGGAAGCATAGCATTTGGTGTGCAAACATGAGATCACAGTGAAAGTTTTTGAGAAGCTATAGGATGTGAACTCTAAATAGGTTTTTGGTCTAGATTTTTGTTGGTTTGTTGTTTGTTTGTTTGTTTGTTTTGAGATGAAGTTTCACCCTTGTTGCCCAGGCTCGTGTGCAATGGCATGATCTTGGCTCACTGCAACTTCCACCTCCCAGGTTCAAGCAATTCTCCTGCCTCAGCCTCCCAAGTAGCTGGGACTACAGGTGCCCACCACCATGCCCAGCTAATCTTTTGTATTTTTAGTATAGATGGGGTTTCATCATGTTGACCAGGCTCCTGACCTCAGGTGATCCACCCGCCTCGGCCTCCCAAAGTGCTGGGATTACAGGCGTGAGCCACTGCGCCCAGCCTTTATTACCTTTTATCTACAAACAAATGGGAAAAAACCTAAGTGTCCTCTGCCCAACAATTTACTTGGTTGACTGAGTATAGGAAATCAGACTAATTAATCATGTTCCTGAATTTGTTTACAAATTTTGTAAACAAATTTTGTAAACATGAGGGGTGGAAGTAATTCAGTTGTATTGATAACATTTTTTTTTTCAAATAGGGCTTGAAGAAAAGGTAGGAAAATGTTAACAAAGCTTGCCAAATCTAGGTGATGGGGCATATGTATTATATTAAGTTTGTGCTTCCATATGTCTGGAATTTTTCGTTAAAAAACTTTTTTTACATTAAAACAAAATAGTGCTGGGTGTGGTGGCTCACACCTGTAATCCCAACACTTTGGGAAACCAAGGTGGGCGGATCACTTGAGGAGACTGCCTATTTAAAAGAACCCTCTGGTAATCCTTTGAAAATACTTATTTCTGATTGTCTTCTGTATGTATCCTGATTTCATATATTAATTTTAAGCCTGTTTTGTATCATGCACTATTTTGCATACATATGTATGTACAATATATATTTATTCTTAAATTTCTTTTTTATTTTTGAGACTAGAATCTTGCTCTGTTGCCCAGGCTGGAGTGCAGTGGTGCCATCTTGGCTCACTGCAACCCCCACCTCCCAGGTTCCAGAGATTCTCCTGCCTCAGCCTCCTGAGTAGCTGGGATTACAGGCACCCACCACCACGCCTGGCTGATTTTTGTATATGGCTAATTTTTGTATTTTTAGTAGAGACAGGGTGTTTCCATGTTGGCCAGGCTGGTCTCAAACTCCTGACCTCAGATGATCCACCTACCTTGGCCTCCCAAAGTGCCGGGATTACAGGTGTGAGCCACTGCGCCCAGCCTATTTTTAAGTACGCTCACATCCTTAATTTTAGTTTATATTCAGAACAGGCCTGTGAGGTAGAAGGAGTGAACATTATTTATCCTCATTTTATAGATGATGGACCAAGTAGAAAAATTAAATAAATTGCTTAAAGAAAACAGCTTTTTGATGATACTAAGAAACAGATTTCATTAATAAACTTTAATGCCATCTGCACTGGAACTTTTCTGCTGACAGTAATACCTACCTTTTTGAAAAAATAGTATAGGTAATCTTAGGATTCTCCTGTATATAATGAAAATACCTTTTACTGTAAATTTCTAGGAAAAGTAATATATTGGAAAATTAAAGACTATCATTATCCCTTCTGGAAAATAAAATTTTCAAACAGTTTTGAAGAATTTGAAAATGAATAGTTTTGGCATATATGAGTAGCAGGTTTCTTAAATGAAGCATGGGAAATATAAAAGTATTATTTAGCAATAGAAGTGAAAACAGAAGTAAAAAGTGATTTCCTCTGAATCAGCACTGGGGGAGGTACAGAGAATAGCAGGGGAGACTGCTGGGCCTCCACAGAAATTCTTCTCTACTGTTTTTCTTAACCATAGACATAGTTTACTTTAGAAAATTTAAATAATGTTAAAGTTTGGGTATCTTGCCTTCATCCCCTCCCTCCCGCAACCTTCACACGTACATGGAGGAGATCCAATATGAGTCTCTAGTTTTTCTGTTTGCTTGCTTTTACTTGCTGTAAGCAAGAGGTTTTTTGCCTGTGAACAGCTAAAATTTGGGGGCTTTTTGTTTACTTGTTTTAAAGAAGACAGGATTTGTTTTTTTCTCAAGGCTTTTGCTCTCAAGTTATTTTGGTTTCTTTGTATATTCTTTTAGACCTCTCACTTGACTATGCCTCTCAGCCAGCGAATCTTCAGTTCCCTCACATAATGCCCCTTGCAGAAGACATCAAAGGTTCTTGCTTCCAAAGTGGGAATAAACGGAACCATGAACCTTTTATTGCTCCAGAAAGATTTGGAAACAGTAGTGTGGGCTTTGGCAGTAATTCGCATTCCCAAGCACCAGAGAAAGTGACGCTTCTTGTAGATGGCACACGTTTTGTTGTGAATCCACAGATTTTCACTGCTCATCCGGATACCATGTTGGGAAGGTAACTGATGATAATTTTCTTCCAAATTTACTCTATTCTCTATAAACAGAAATACCTGCTATTTATCTTGCATTAGATATAACAATAAAAAGCATTGTATAGGCCAGGTGCAGTGGCTCACGCCTGTAATCCAGTGCTTTGGGAGGTCGAGGCAGGTGGATCACCTGAGGTCTGGAGTTTGAGACCAGCCTGGCCAACATGGTGAAACCCTGTCTCTACTAAAAATAACAAAAATTATCTGGAAGTGGTGGCAGGGGCCTGTAATCCCAGCTACTTGGGAGGCTGAGGCAGGAGAATCAGGAGAATCACTTGAACCTGGAAAGTAGAGGTTGCAGTGAGCTGAGACTATGCCATTGCACTCCAGCCTGGGCGACAGAGCAAGACTCCATCTCAAAAAA